CCTCGGTTTAGTGCTCAAACCGAATTTACTTCTTCTTCCTCGAAATTGCCTCCACTCCCTAATCAAATTTAGAAACCCTAATGCAAATGCACCTCTACATTTCCTAATTTGCGGCAAAATCGCCTCCGGGAAATCTCCATCACCTGCGATGCCGCTGCCTCAATCTTCCGGCTATCTACGTCACCTTTGCCGCCTCTTTCTCCGCCCTCGCCGAACTAGTTTCACCATGGATTCCGATCATGCCTTGAGCCCATTTCACCAAATCCATATCCGGATTACCAATCAGTAAGTGTTTATAAGTTCTCGATCATAGCGTTTGACTACGAAGCAGATGCTATTAAGGTCGAAAACATCAAAAGCAGATTGTTGGATTTGGCTTTGGAATGCAAGCAACTTTGATGAATCATTGCAGAGAGTGGTGAAGTTAGTTACACTCTGCAATTGTTTGAAACAAGCAAGGAGAGTTATTTTTCAAGAATGGGTTTACCCGTGTGCATACCTACTTCATTCACATAACTACATCAAAATCCTCAACAATAACCCAGGCACGGGAGCTTTTTTTCCCTCTGTATCCTCTAGTGTTTTAAGACTTTCTCACTGATTTTCAAATATCACAAACTGTATAGCATCTCTTGATATGATTTATCTGTGTAGATTGCGACGTAGAAGAATGAGAATGGTTCAAGGATAACAACAATCGTCAAGGTTTGTGAGGATGGTTATGTGGTCATTAGGAATATTGATGCATTTGTTTTACTAAGTAAATAGAAAGAAAAAAAACAAGTCAATTGAGAGCAGTAGATTCCCAATTGAGGAGGGAAGCTCCACAAGGTTGATGTACGGATCTTGAGAGAATTATCCGCAAGGGTCAGCAACCCATCTTGCACAAGGTTGATATACAGATCTTGAGAGAGGAAGCTGAGAGCAGTAGCCAAGTTGAGACTGGGGGCAACAACAACCATCACACAGATGGAGAAGCTTATAAGGTCTCTCAAGTTGAAAACATGAAAAGCAGTAAACATACAAGTCGTTGGAGTTGGCTTAAAAGTCTTGTTCTATGTAATAAGTAGATGGATAAGACAGAACGGACTTCTCGGGGAATTTCATGAGACCTGACCAGGGATGATAAAAAAAATCTTAGCTCCTTTACCATCTTTTCAAAGTTTCTTAGTTGGGATTTTGATGCATTCCTCAAAAAGATTCTTCCTCCTACACCATCTTGTCTCGAATGTCCTTTGCACTTAAATTGCATTACAACAAGCACCCGAAGGTTGATCCAGGTTAGGTTATTATCCAGAATTTAGACAGTCTTTCTAGTGATTCAACCTAAAAACATTTAAACTAAATTTTGATATGACATTCTTGTTCCTTGTGTTTGATAATTAGGTACAACAAATCTCAAGAAGACGGTATGAGAAAAGAACCCAAGTCAGTGGACTCAACAAGTGTGCGATAATTAAGAAGGCAACGACAGTGATGAAGCTGTTGATACAGGTCGACGAATTTGGTCAGGGACAGAAGACAGAATCTCCATTATATCAGGGGTAGTTATTGTTTTTGTATATTTCTATTTATCCAAATCTTTAGAGAGATTGGATTATATGGTCCGAGAGATTACTAGTTTGTTACTGGTACAGTGGTAATGGGCGCATAACGTTCGTCTAAGAAACAAAGAAGGTCCAATAGTTTCTGAAGGAACATCTGTTAATATTTTGTGGCGAATTATTTCAAACAGACAAATGCCATGATTTGGATGCGACTACGAGTGAGATTCTGTTTGAATTCAGCTGCAGGGAAAACGATGACTGAGATTATCGAGTGCCTCTTGAGGGAGGAATGCGAGAGTAGTGATAGCAGCAGTAGCAAAGTGGAGTGCTATGAAACTGGAGACAATAGCAACCATCACACAGATGGAGACTATGAAGCAGAAGCTCAAGTTGAAAGCTGATATGTGAAAAGAAGAAAATAGAGAGAGTTATATAACCAAGTATCTAATCGTTGGTATGTATCGCTTCCTAATGATGTCTATTTTTTTTGTTGTAGTTCCATTGATTCATTCATCCTTTAAATCCATAATTTCACCTCAATCATGGTACGGATAAGTTTAATCCTAAGCAATTGTAGTACTTTAGGTGTCAATCCAAACTCAAGGCTATTTTAATCACTA